GACCGGCGCAGGTAAGGGAGGAGGGTCTACCTGAGACACACCTGAAGGAGCAGGACCGGGAGCGGGGAGGGGGTCTACCTGGGGAGCACCTGGAGCGAGGAAGAGCGGCGGGGGGGGGGAGAGGGGCAGTGCGGTAGGGGAAGAGACGGTAAAAGGGAACCGACTCGTCGAACGTGACGTCCTGAGACGCAAAGACACGGCGCGAGGTGGGGTGGTAAAACTGCCAACCAGGTGCGTCAGGGACAAAGCCAAGGAAGACACAAGGAACAGCGCGGGCGGAGAGCTTGTCCGCGGTGGTATCGCGGACAAAGGCACGAGCACCCCAGACCCGGAAACGCGACGCATCGCCAACCTTCCCCGTCCACAGCAGCGTGGGCGAGGTCTCTGGCAAGGAGACACGGGGCCAGAGGTTGAGCTGATGCGCAGCGTACCGGACCGCAAACGGCCACAGAAAATGGGGGGCAGCCGCATGGATCAAGGAGGTACGAGCGACCTCCATGACTAAGCCAATGTGGCGCTCAGCAACCCCATTCTGCTGCGGAGAGGCCGGAAGCGTGAACATCTGGCGGATGCCGTGCTCCGCACAGAAGGCTGCCAAGAGGTCTGAGGAGAACTCACCACCTCTGTCAGAGTGCAGACGCAGGACGGGAAACTCCGTCCCGAACCGCTCGCGGAGCTGGAGACGGGCAGCGCGGATCCAAGGGATCAAAACATCAGGGACCTCCCCTTTGCGCTGCAAGGGGAAGACCGTGGTGTAACGCGTGTAGTCGTCGACAACCAGCAGGAAGTACCGCTCGTGGCCCTGTCCACGGACGCGGGCTGGGCCCCACACGTCCAGGTGGAGAGTCTGCAGAGGAGCCTCTGTGGGAGGGAACGAGGAGGAGTGAGGAGCGACGCGCTGCCGCCCCTCGACGCAAGGAATGCAGGGCGGCGCAAGCGAGGGAGGGAGGGCAGGCAAAGACCTGGGAAGACCAGAGACAAGGAACCGGGAGTGCATGCCACGAAGGCGCTGCACCGAGGGGTGACCAAGGCGGTGGTGCCACAGGAGGGTCTGGTGCGACAAAGCACGACACTCGCAGGGGGCCGCTAGCTGACCTGACGCAGACGCAGACGCAGCTACCTGAGGGGACTCAGTGGTCAGGGTGTACAGACTCGAGCCAGGCGCACGGGTAAACGTGGCAAGGTGTCGGCCCGTCCGAGCACACGTACAGTGAGTCACTCGCTGACTCGCAGGAGTGAACTGGTGAACCCCCCTATCCTGGAGGTCAGCTCCACTCACCAAGTTCGTAGAGAACGAGGGAAGGTAAAGACCTGACAGCGAGCCAGACGGGGCGGCCGGACACGGCAGAACCGTGGAGTAGTGGGCAAGGACTGGACCCCCGGAGGGGTCCGCCAGGGAGACTGGAACCGGCCGACTAAGCGGCGTGAGCGTGGTGCAGTCGCGAAAGAAGGAGCGGGAAGCTCCTGAGTCAAGGGTGAAGGTGTGCAAGACCGCAGCAGGCGCAGTACCAGAGAGAGCAGACTCACCAGCACCTGGAGCAGCAGCCTCACCAGCACCTAGAGCAGGAGACGCACGAGCACCTAGAGCAGCAGCCTCACCAGTACCGAGAGCAGCAGGCGCTATACCAGGGTCAGGCGGTACGCACAGGTAACAGGCACGGTCAACACTAGTAGGCAATGCATACATGGTAGTGAGAATAGCATCATAGTCAAGAGCAAAGATATCTACCCCCTGTCCAAGCAGCTCCAGCCAGGTGGGGAGCTCAGCCTCGTCGCCAAACACTGTACGCCAGGCGTCGCTCAGACGGGCGAAGCAGCGGGACTGTGTGTGACTAAGCGTCCCGCACTGCTGACAAGTCCTATCACCTGTGCGAATGACGTACTGGCAGCGAACTGTACTCAAAGACCCGCTACTCTGAGCGTACCACTCATGGAGCTGCTGGGACGTAAGTGTCTCGCGTGGACGCCGCTGCAGCTGCAGCTGGCCACTGCCAGACGCTCCCAACTGACCAGCTCCAGGGCGACTGCTACGACGGCTACCGCGAGAGCCCCAACTAGTATACCAATCACTAAGCTGCTGGGGCGTGAGAGACTCGCGTGAACGTCGCTGGAGCTGCATCTGGCCACCTGCTAATAGCAGTAGTAGTAGCAGCAGCTCGCTCAGGGCAGGCGCGGCAGGCAGGCAGGCAGGCCGGCAGGCAGGCAGGCCGGCAGGCAGGCAGGCAGGTAGGCCGGCAGGCAGGCAGGCAGGCAGGTAGGCAGGCAGGCAGGCAGGCAGGCCGGCAGGCAGGCAGGCAGGCAGGCAGGCAGGCCGGCAGGCAGGTGCTCACCAAAGGCTGGAAGGGCAGGCGCTCGCCGGGCGAGCAGGGCCGGCGCTCGGCGGGCGGCGGCCGGGTAGGCGCACGACGGCGGCGACGGCGGGGCCGCAACAGCGGCTGCAGAGTAGGTCCACGGCAGCTGCAGGGCGGGGCCGCTTCAGCGGCAGTCGCAGGGTGGGGCCGCGTCAGCGGCAGGTCGGGGCCGCGGCAGCTGCAGGGCGGGGCCGCATCAGCGGCAGGTCGGGGCCGTGGCAGCTGCAGGGCGGGGCCGCGGCAGTGGCAGGTCGGGGCCTCTTCTGCGGCCGGGCGGGTCTGCGTGAGCAGTGCGCGGGGCAGCAGCAGGCTGTGCGCGGGCTCGGGGCGGGCTGCCGGAGGCAGCAGTGGGCTGCGCGTGGCTCGGCGCGGGCTGCGCGGGCCGCACTGGCTCAGCGCGAGCTGCGCGGGACAGCACGCGGGGCTGCTACGCGGCGCAGGCTGCGCGAGGCAGCAGCGGGCTGCACGCGGCGCGGCGCGGGCTGCGCGGGCTCGGCGCGGGCTGCGCGCGGCAGCAGCGGGCTGCGCGCGGCTCGGCGCGGGCTGCGCGGGCTCGGCGCGGGCTGCGCGCGGCTCGGCGCGGGCTGTGCGCGGCTCGGCGCGGGCTGCGCGGGCTCGGCGCGGGCTGCGCGGGATCGGGGCGGGCTACGCGCGGCTGCAGCGGACTGCTCGCGACTCGGCACGGGCTGCGCGGGCTCTTTGCGGGCTACGCAGGGCGACGCGCGTGCAGGAAGGTGCGCGCGGGCTGGAAGGGCGACACGCGCGGGACAACAGTAAACAGGAGGCAGTAGGCGTGACAGTCACAGTCACAGGCTCATTCGTGGGGTAGCGGTAGGTGGGCCCGAAAAAAAAACGGTCCTACGGACCTACTGCTCTGATACCATGTTAGAAACTAGAGACAGGAATGACTTGAATTGAAACAGAGTTGGGTACATATCCTAACCCTAACATTGGGTTGTACCCTTTATGGGCTACCCCACTACAGCCTACACAAGTATATAACATATACAGTTTGACAAATCGGTGTTGCAGAACCTAGCCGATTCGCCATATTTCTGTCATCGGCCGTACATTTTGTTTAAAATGCTACAAATGTATATCAGTCATAACAATACTGGTACAACAATTATAAACATATGGGGCGTATCAACGAAAAACACTGAAATTCCAGAGATGACATGAAAACTACTGAAACTTTTGCAACCAGATCTATAATTTTAATTAGTATATACACAATCCTTATCATTCCATTTTTTCAGTAACGGAATTTTTTTTTCCAGTTTTATTATTCTCTGCCCTTGGTTCTGTGAATATTCACGTGTGTTTGGAATTTCCAAAAGAGGCCGTTCTTGCTGGAGTCAAACGCCACGATCATGGTTATGGCGGCGTGGGCGCCGTTTGCGGATGGTATGTGCAGCCACGTCAGTTCCAGGTCAGACTATTGCATTTTTTTGAATCTCCCACTTTTTCCGAGCCAAGAAACAATTGCCCTTTGGCTTCTGGAACGGTCACCAGGTTTGGAGACGACTGAATATTTTTGAGAGTTTTGCGTTACTGTTCAAGTATTTGACAGACCGTTGTTCCAATAGTCCGTTTTCGGAACTTAGTGCTATTTTTTCCATTTCAAGTGAATTCTCCAAATCCACCCAGAACTTACTGATGCTGTAGAGAACCTAGTGGGAAAAAGCATCGTCACCACTTTTGGGGTCCCTCCCTCAACACTGCGTTGAGGAGGGGCATCATGGCTCCCCCGTCACACTCAAAGTCGTTTTGCCTCGAGGCTTTCAACGAATCACCAATATACACGTGCAGGATCTACCTGTAAGTACAGTGGCAACTTCGGCATTCTCCCGACCTCTTGGGAATACCAGAAAACGTTCTGACAAGCTCTGTTTGACTCGACTCGATAACTCCAAGGCTCCTACTACCTAGGGCTCCAAGTGTTTTGGGGACTCGAGCACACTTTTTCCCAGAGTTCTCCCTCCCTCGAGTTGTGCAAAACACCCTTCCCTTGGCCTCTTTCCCAGCCCACGCCCTGACCTCATCACATTCCCAAATCCCAAGGCGTGCAGGGGCGACCAACATCAGAGCAGCAACACCTGCTTCCTGCTGCTCTGTGCTGTCTGCTTCTGCTAGGGTTCCCATCCCAAGCGACGAGAGAAATACCTGTAACCATCACCCGAGAAGTGATGGCATGAGCATGTCGTGTCGTGCTTCCTGGGCTTCTGCCACGTAAACCTCCCGGTTCGGTTGGTTTGGGAGGCCTAGCCTGACACTTCCGAACCAAACCCAAAACCAGAGCTAGCCCTGTCTTTAGTAGATGTGCTATGTACGCCGAAAGAGGTTATGATGTACGGCTCACCAGTGACAAGTATATTATTTCTAGACATTTCAATGTAGTGGTGGTAGCTCGAACTAGTTAGCGCGCTCCGGCCTCAGCTTTATGTACGGCATTCTAGATGCGACACTCCAACTAACTTCATATCTCTTTACATTATTTTCTTCATAAATCGTCTAATATAGTCGACTTTTTCGTCTCACACTACTTAGCTCATTCCCGGCTCTTCGCCAAAAAACGCATTTCGCAAATGTTTGCGGTTCGCGAAAGCTCGTCGCCGCGGCGAGGCTCGTGTTGATGGAGGCTCGTCGATGGCCAATGGAGAAGTGCCTTCCTCCAACGGCTACATGCAAGCGGCCGCCGCTCCTCCCGCTCCTCCCGCTCCCCGACCCAAGCTCGCCTCTTCCACCCCCTCCCCATCGGCTAAAGCGCAGCTGTCTTCCGCGAAGCCGCAACCCGCTTCCGCCAAAGCGCAGCCTGCTTCCGCCAAGGCGCAGCCTGCTTCCGCCAAGGCGCAGCCTGCTTCCGCCAAAGCGCAACCTGCTTCCGCCAAAACGCAGCCTGCATCGAGCAAGGCGCAAGCTACCCCCGCCGCCATCTCAGCCGCTGTTGCCGCCGCTGCCGCCGCTTGCACCAGTGCCAGCGCCGCTGCAGCGTCGCCGGAAGCCGCAAGCGCACCACCCGCGCCGTCCGCCGCCGCTTTCTCTGAGGCACCTCGAGACTCGCCTTCTGTCGCCCCCTTTCCCGAAGCGCCTCAAAGGTCGCCGTCAGCAGCAGCCGCTGCTGCTGCAACGGCGACACCGACGCGGGCGGCAACGTCATCGCCGCCGCCGCCGCTGCCGCCGCCGCTGGCGCTTCCCGCGCCGTCTCCTCCGCCGCTGCATGTGCAGCTTCAGCTGCTGCACTTCCCGTACTTGTCGGAAGCATGGACGGCTGAGGAGCAACGGCTGCTGGATCAAGGGCTCGCAAGGTGGGGCACTGGGGCTCTCGGATTGGCTTGTGCTTTTCAAGATAGAGAAAGGTAGCGAGGGAACTGTAGAGGGAGGGAGCCATTACATGCTGCTGCACCAGAACGGGAGAGAGTTTTGCAGGGAAGTCGCTGAGGGGTTCGATTGGCTGCGCGATCGAGTCGTTCGAGGGTGCGACGTCGCACGACAGTGTCGTCTCAGAGGTCAAACCGCCGTGTCGAGCGATTAGCGACCCGCGTTTTTCAGCGTCACTCGATCCCCGTCGTTCAAGATAGTTATCGTCACTGGTCGGACAGTGTCGTTGCGAACGCATACTTTCGACAAGACGCACGCTCGATGAACGTACTGGCTCGTTCGGTGAGGAGCTGACTGGCTGTTTTAGTGCGTACTAGCCATCATCGCTTTCGTCAATGACGGCTCGTAGACGCCTAGAACCCCAAACCCCGCCTGTGTTCGGTTCGTGGTCCCCTTGTGACAGATGTATGCAGCTTGATTCTTGCAGTGGCCGTTGGGCTACGCTGTCCTTGTCGACGCGCGCGAGTGTAGTGCGAGAGAGTGGGTGATTGACCTGCCTTTGAGCATCATTTGACCGTTGGTTGGCCAGTCACAGGATCGAAATCATGCGCATCCATCGAGCTATGCTTGTTTTCTTTGGAACCTGTCGAGCCTCACGCAGACGCTCGTACATTTATCCATCTCGGCTCGCTCCCCTCTAGTTCCCACCCACCCCCCCCCCCCCACCCACCCACCCCCACGGCGGAGCTCTACCTCCAGTTCGCGCGTTTACAGCTTCCCTATAGCGCTCTATAGCGCTCTCTCACACCCAAGTACTTCCCCTCCTCCCCCTCCTCCCCTTCCTCCCCTTCCCTCTTGCCCCCTCCGCACCGCCCCTCCCCCACCCCACCCCGCTCTCACAGCCTAATGTCTTCCCATCCTCCCGTCCGCCCCCCTCCACTTTTCCCCCTCCGCCCTCCCCATCCCCAGGTTCCACGCGGACCACTTCCCCTTCGCCCTCCCCGCGGAGTGCCTCAAAATCGCGGCGCCCCTCCTGGAGAAGCTTTGAGATGTCTCAGATCTTTACACTGTGTTTTCCCTTCCCCCTTCCGACTCTTTTCTCCCACCCACCAGATAACCCGCGGATCAATTTCCCCCTGCCCAGCGCTCCCTCAAGATCATGCGTCTATAACTGTCTCAGTTCCCATTCTCTCCTTCCTTCCTGCCTATTTCCTCCACATATTTGTTGGACCAACGAGATAAAAGAGATGTTTTGAGACGTCTCAAAACATCTCTTTTATCACGTGTATAACTGTCTCAGTTCCCATTCTCTCCTTCCTTCCCGCCTATTTCCTCCACATATTTGTTGGACCAACAAGCTTGTTGGTCTTCCTCCACTTCCGCCACTCTCTCCTGCTCCCCGCTTTCTCTCTGCCTCTCTCTTCCCCTCCGCAAACCCCAGGTTCCCCGCGGATCAGTTCCCCCCCGCCCAGTGCTACCTCAAGATCGCGGCGACCCTGCCGGAAAATACCGCTCGAGACGTCCCAACTCTCCGAGCAATGATCTCCCAACCTCCCTCCCACCCTTCGCCCCACACCCCCCCACCCCCTCCTCCCCCCCCACACGTCCCCCGCCCCCCCAGGTTCCCCGCGGATCAGTTCCCCCCCGCCCAGCGCTACCTCAAGATCGCGGCGACCCTGCCGGAGAAGACCGCCCGGGACGTGGCTCTGCGCTGCAAATGGCTGCAGGTGAGCAAGGCCGCACCTGGGGGAGGTGACATCTGGTGAAACCTCACTTTTATCACGAGATGACCGGCCGGGACGCGGCCCTGTACTGCAAATGGCTCCAGGTGAGGCCGCACCCGGGGGAGGTGATATCTGGTGCGGTGCTTCGGCACCTGCCTTGAAGGAACGCCGCACCCGGGGAAGGTGATATCTGGTGGGGTGATTTGGCAGTTGAGGCGCTTGCGTCAAATGCCCCATCTGGGGAAGGTGGTATTTGGTGCGTTGGTCTGGTCTGGCTTTTGAGGCGCCTGCTTCATACGTCGGACCTGGGAAGGTGACACTTCATGTGGTGGTTAGACGTTCCAGGCGTGCCACAATGGGTTCACCAGGGGGAGGTGATACCTGGTGCAGCCGTTTCTTTGGGTGTCGAGGCGTATCTGTCTCTCACGGCTCTTAATGAGCCATCTCAATCCAACTTAGCTCTACTCCCCTCAGCTTCTCCTCTTATCTCTCTCTCTCGCTCCCTCGCTCCCCAATTCCCCCGTCTCTCGTCTTCCGATTGGTCCTTTGCAGAGGAAGGAGGCGGGCAAGAGGCGGAGGGCGGAGGAAATCACAGCAGCCAAGAAGCCCAAGGACAAAAAGGCAAGCACGCTCCCTTCCCACTCTTCCCTCTCCCCCTCTCCTTGAGTCGAGTAAAAGAAAGAGGGTGGAGGAAATCACAGCAGCCAAGGAGCCCAAGGACAAAAAGGCAAGCAAGCAGGCTTCCATCTCTTTCTTCTCCCCCTCTGATAGAAGTGTAGTTTTGAGTCGTCTCAGAACTACACTTCTATCAAAAGGCAAGCAGGCTTCCCTCCCTCCCTCCCCCTGCGCTCTCTCACTCTCTCCCTCCCTGCCTCTGCAGCTCTCCCTCTCACTTTGCGTCTCCATCTCGGTTTCTTTATTTTTTTCGGCCTTAGAGGTTCTGAACTGCGCTTCTCTTTGTTTCTTTACACTCTCGTTTCCATCCCCGTTCCATTGCAATTCCACAACTTCCCCATTTCCGACGTCCCTCCTGCTGCTGTTCATGCACAAATCCACGACAAGGACCAACAGATGCGAGTGCAGGCAGCACCAACTGTGAATCGATTCTTGACCTGACAATAAAAGTCCTATTTCCATCCCTTTTCTGCCTCCACTTGCATCCCCCCCACGCCACTTTCAACCCAATTCTGCCGTCCTTCCTGCTGTTTGCATACAAGACAAGACCAGCAGTGGCTGGCGGGTGCAGGTAGCAACAGCAGCAGGGGAAAACGATTATTTGACTGACTAAAAAAACCCATTTCCATCTCCCTTTCACCCAACTGCCCACCCCGCTTTCACCCCACCCCGCTTTCACCCCACCCCGCTTCACCCCATGTCCACCATCCCTCCTGCTGTTCGCATAGAGGACAAGGACCAGCAGCAGCGAGTGCAGGCGGCAGCAGGGGAACCGATTATTGCATCGACAAGAGAATCTATTTCCTCCCCACTTTCTCCCCACCCCCACTTCCTCCCAATTCCCTCCGTCTTCCCTGCTGTTCGCATACAGGACAAGGACCAACAGCAGCAGCGAGTGCAGGCAGCAGCAGGGGAACTCACAGCAGGAGGAGGGGGAGGAGGTGCAGGGGCAGGCGGGGGAGGGGGGACAGGGGGAACAGGGGGAAACGTTACTGGAGGTGGGGTGGCGAAGACAGGGGGGCAGGGTATGGTCAAAACAGAGACCGCAGGTGTTGGGGACGGTGCTGGGACGCGAGGGGCAGGGGGAGGCGCATCTGGTGCAGGTGTATCTGGGGCAGGAGCAGGGGGTGGTGGTGGTGGCGGTGATGGGTGTGGTGCTGCTGACACGCACACAGACGGGGCTGACAACAGTGGCAGCTTGCTATCCGGTACCATACACAGCTTGTTATCTGTTGTGTCCCATTTCACTTTGCTGCATCCCCCTCCATTCTAATGCCCCCCCCCCTTCACTTCGCTGCAAATCCAGTCCCACTCCTTTCCATGCCTTAACTTCGCTGCAAATCCCGTCCCTCTCCATTCCATGCAGCAAACACTTAATCTCCTCCCTGCCTGTGTCTTGCCCTCTTATTTGGTGCTTGTCGTGACCCGCTAATGCCTCGTCCTGAGCCGTTTGTTTCTTGCGCTCCCTGCTTGTGATTCTGCCTGCCATGCCGTTTGTTTGTTTTGTCCCATGTGCCTTATGGTTCTGTCCTTCACTTGCTCTCCTCTTCACCTTAGCTGCTCGTTTTATCCTTGTTGATTACCGCTGTGCCGCCACTCTCACAGGGGATCTGTCACCCGACAAGCTACTTGAACAAAACGTGGAGCTCATTTCCCAAGTCAAGGCCGCACTGGCTGCAAACAAGGTGAGCATGCTCTCGCTGAGACGGACGGAGGGTAACCTAGTAACCAGGTGATTCAACCATGTAAAAATCTTTCCTAGATGATTGTACTTACCTAAACGTACGCCTCCACCTGGCTTGTGCTGCTTCTTGCTGACTAGGAACACTTTCGTATATGCTGCTAAAATGCGCTTTCTGCTGCTGTTGCTGTTGCTGCTGCTGTTGCTTTTTCTGCTGCTGCTGCTGCTGCTGCTGCCTTCCTTCCCGCGCCCCTGACAGTCGCAGGAGTGCAACGGCCTCTTGATTCGGCTGAGAGACAACATCCTCTCGGTTGTTCATGGGTGAGTGCGCTCCCTATTCCCCCCTTCTTTTTCTAAGGATGTACTCTCCCCTCCTTCACATCACACCCACACACACTTCCTCATTTGGCTGAGACACAACATCCTCTCACTTGTTCACGGGTGAGTGCATGTCCCCCATCTCCCCTTCAACCTCCTTACTCCCTCTCTCACTCCCCTCCTTCACATCACACCCACACACACTTCCTCATTTGGCTGAGACACAACATCCTCTCACTTGTTCACGGGTGAGTGCATGTCCCCCATCTCCCCTTCAACCTCCTAACTCCCTCTCTCACTCCCCTCCTTCACATCACACCCACACACACTTCCTCATTTGGCTGAGACACAACATCCTCTCACTTGTTCACGGGTGAGTGCATGTCCCCCATCTCCCCTTCAACCTCCTAACTCCCTCTCTCACTCCCCTCCTTCACATCACACCCACACACACTTTCTCATTTGGCTGAGACACAACATCCTCTCACTTGTTCACGGGTGAGTGCTTGTCCCCCATCTCCCCTTCAACCTCCTAACTCCCTCTCTCACTCCCCTCCTTCACATCACACCCACACACACTTCCTCATATGGCTGAGACACAACATCCTCTCACTTGCTCACGGGTGAGTGCATGTCCCCCATCTCCCCTTCAACCTCCTAACTCCCTCTCTCACTCCCCTCCTTCACATCACACCCACACACACTTCCTCATTTGGCTGAGACACAACATCCTCTCACTTGCTCACGGGTGAGTGCATGTCCCCCATCTCCCCTTCAACCTCCTAACTCCCTCTCTCACTCCCCTCCTTCACATCACACCCACACACACTTCCTCATATGGCTGAGACACAACATCCTCTCACTTGCTCACGGGTGAGTGCATGTCCCCCATCTCCCCTTCAACCTCCTAACTCCCTCTCTCACTCCCCTCCTTCACATCACACCCACACACACTTCCTCATATGGCTGAGACACAACATCCTCTCACTTGCTCACGGGTGAGTGCATGTCCCCCATCTCCCCTTCAACCTCCTAACTCCCTCTCTCACTCCCCTCCTTCACATCACACCCACACACACTTCCTCATTTGGCTGAGACACAACATCCTCTCACTTGCTCACGGGTGAGTGCATGTCCCCCATCTCCCCTTCAACCTCCTAACTCCCTCTCTCACTCCCCTCCTTCACATCACACCCACACACACTTCCTCATTTGGCTGAGACACAACATCCTCTCACTTGCTCACGGGTGAGTGCATGTCCCCCATCTCCCCTTCAACCTCCTAACTCCCTCTCTCACTCCCCTCCTTCACACCACGCATTCGCCTCCTTTGTTTGCCAGAGAATCAAAGCCCTCTTGGTCATTCATGTGTATAAGCGCACCCATCCATCCCCACACAACACACCTGCCGCCTAACAACATGCCCTCTCGGCTCTTCACACCGCACCACTTGCTTAAAACCCTCGTGATCTCCCTCCCTCTCCCCCTCCCCACAGACACGTACGGGGGCACTCGCCCACTAAAAGACATGCGCGCACACAAGCTCGTCCACTTCCAAAGACACAATGAGCCAGATGCGCGCATGTCTTTTACATGCAAACCACACTTCCATCCTTCATCCTCCCTCCCTGCCCACCCATTTGACCTGTCCTCGTTACAGGATGGCCTCAGTCCCCGGTACAATGAGCCAGATGCCGCCTCTCCCAGTCAATCCTAACTTATGCACCTCTCTCCTCCGTCCCCCCCCACCCACTTGGTCTGTCTTCGTTACAGGATGACCTCAGTCCCCGGTACAATGAGTCAGATGCCGCCTCTCCCAGTCAAGCCTAACCTAGACCTCGCTTGCCAAGTCCTCTCCCCCTCCCCCTCCTCCTCCCTCATCCCCATCTCCATGCCGCCCGGCCTCCCGGCTACGACCATCCACGCTACAACCTTCCCCGCTACAGCCGGCCTGCCAGCAGTGACAGGGCCAGCCGCTGCTACACCCATGCTTGGTGCTACAGGCATGCCTGCTACAGCCGCCCCTGCTACAGCCATGCCAGGCCTCCCTGCTACAGCCATGGGAGCAGCAGGAATGGGAGGAATGGGAGGCATGGGAGGCATGGGAGGCATGGGAAGCATGGGAGGGATGGGGGGCATGGGGGGGATGGGAGGGATGGGGGCATGGGAGGCATGGGGGGATGGGGCCGATGAGGGGAGCGCCAGGCATGCCCATGGGTATGCCCATGCCGATGCCCATGGCTATGATGCCTTCCATGGGCCCGCCACCTGGTGCTGGAGCCATGTCGCAGTGACTCGTCTCCAGGCCCATGCCATGTCGCAGTGATGACTCATCCAGTGCCATCCGAGTTCATGTAGTAGCAATGCTAAGCGCCTCTCCCCAGTCTCCTCTGTCAAGCGCCTCTCAAGCACCTCTCAAGCGCCTCTCATACTGCTACCTCCTCTGCCGTACAATATCTCCGCACATTCTTCCTTGTTCCTTGTTCTCGCTAACAGCCCACTCCTCCCCTCTGCTGCCCACGTCCTCTCACTAACTCTGGGTTTCCTCCCCCCCCCCCCCGCCCGAGTCCGCTCCCACGCCCCTTTTTTTTCCACAGCAATCTCGCTCCCCTCCCCTCCCTCTCCACCCATTTCCCTCCCTTTTTAAATCACATTCTCCCTCGCTCTCATCTGCTCACACTGCTACCTCTCACTGTCCCTCCTGTTATGGCTATATGCTACGGCCTCCTTCCTGCCTCCGGGTCCTCTAGTTGCCTTCCATGCTGCATGCTGCAGCAGCCACGGCACTGACAAGGGGGTTGAAAACAGTTGTTCTGAAGACAGGAGGGGTTTGGGCGGGTTCTTGGGTGTAGACGGTTGCGACGGTGTAGTTTTAGTGCTTCCGGCGCAAAACATGCGGTGGGAGCAAATGGCTGTATGGTGCATGCTGCGTGCTGCAGCGATGTCG